TAGACATTGAGCCTTTGAGGACTATTGCTGAGTATAATGATGCAAACAATTATGTATCCACCTAACAGTCTTTCACCTAGTCTGTATTCTCTTAACTTGTTAATGACAATTTCATGAAAGAAAATGTCAAAAGCTTTTCTAAAGTCAAGGTATCCTATGCTCTCCCCTCATCCATAGAGCTTGCCACTTTATTGTAGAAGGAAATCAGATTTTTTCAGGCATGACTTGCTCTTGGTGAATCCATGCTGACTGTTCACCAATGGCACCAATGGCTTTGCAATGAAATCCTTGAGGGCCCAATCCATGATCTTTTTCAGGTATAAAGGAGAGACTGACTGATCTATAGTTCCCTAGTGTTAGGGACTCTGATCAATAGGGATCCTGGTTTTCTCTGACTTAAAAAAAAAATCCCTAATTTTTTGATTAAAAAAAAAGCAACCCCAAATCCACATTTTTCCATGACTAAAATGAATTAATTAAAATGAAACACCACTATATATATATATCTATCTATCACACTCTTGCTTGCTAGCACCCAGTACGGCCTAGTCGGACTAACCAAGACATGGTGGGATTCTACACATGACTGGGCGGTAGGCATTGATGGGTATAGGCTGTATAGGCATGACAGGGTGGGGAAAAAAGTTGAGGGGGGTAGCACTCTATGTTAAGGAGCAGTATACGTCTTCCACCATTAAGGCGGGGGTGGAGGAGGGGAACACTGAGGCATTGTGGATCGGGATCCAGAGGGGCCAGGGGAAAAGGACTTGGTTGTGGGGGTCTACTACAGGCCTCCTCATCAGGATCAAGAGCTAGATGATGTATTCTCTGGGCAGCTAGCAGATGACACACAGGCGAGGGAGGCGGTGTTCATGGGAGATCTAAACTATCCAGATATCTGCTGGGAGGAGCAGACAGCCAAAGCAAGCTGCTCATGGAGGTTCTTACACTGTGTGGAGGACCTCCACCTAACCCAGGTGGTGTCTAGTCCCACCAGGAGTAGCGCCTTGCTTGACCTGGTCTTAGCAACAGGGGATGATCTCGTGGGGAGCATGCAAGTTCATGGCAGCCTGGGAGATAGTGACCATCACTTGATCAAGTTCACTATCCAGAAAAGGGTGGGTAAAGTAACTAGTGGGGCTAAGGTGTTGGACTTCAGAAGGGTCAACTTTAGCAAGCTTAGAAGGCTAGTTAGTGAGGGGATACAACTCAAGAACATAGAGCATATGGGGGTCCAGGAGAGTTAGCGGTATCTCAAGGGAGTGATCCTTGGGGCTCAAAAGGAATCTATCCCATTACATAGGAAGGGAGGTAAGGGGGCAAAAAAGCCCCCTTGGCTGAACAGGGAACTCCAGGAGAGTCTGGGGGCAAAGAAAGAGATGTATAGGCAATGGAAGCAGGGAGCAGCCACCAAGGAGGAATATATCTCCCTGGCATGCTATTGCAGGGAATCAGTTAGACAGGCCAAGGCGGGGCTTGA